AAAAAATAAAAAAAGACAAAATGAAGTACTACTCAGCTATAAAGAACGAGAAACTAGAGACACTTATAGCTAAGTGGATGCACACTGAGGCCATACTCTTAAGTCAAGTAAATAGGACACACGTGTAAATACCAAATAATTTCTCTGGTGTGAAAAACTAAAAGTGTAAATAAGGTTCATATGGTATAATTGATAATGTGAAATAGGAAGAAAAAGACGTAAAGGAGTAGGAGAAGTGGGATGGGTAGGGGAAAGGAAAAAAGGGAAAAGGAAAAATATGAGAAAGGGAAAAAAATGGAAACAAAGTCTTTGTAAATAGGCAAGCTTGGAGGGCGTGAAGGGAGGGCAGGGGAATGGGGAAAAAATAACCAAAATACATCATGTAAAGGTGCAAGATCCCAATAACGAATGTAACTGTATTGTATACCCTAAATGTACCAATAAACTTAATGGAAAAAAAAAGTCTCATACTCCAGTTTTACAAGGTCAGAAGTCATATTCCCCCTTGAAATGTAAATATCTACCTTTGAAGATAATGTAGGATCCCATCTCAAAGGGTAACCATTTAACTTCCAGGAAGACTGGATGTGTCTTTCTGCAGGTAAGAGTTTTATTATTCTGTTAGAATTCACTTACCTAAACAAATAGCTACCTCTGTTCCCAAGTTAACTTTGTATCTGCTTTACTGTATAAGTTGTATAGATTCTTATTCTGAATTTGCAGTCTCTTGAGGACAACCTATATGCCTGTACTATTTTGTGCTTGTTCAACAACAACAACAACAACAACAACAGAAATCACCTTTTTGTCATATTCATATGGATAGGTCCATTTATGGGTAGGAATATTTACTTCACCAACATAATAAGAGTTGTAACCAGTACTGCAAAATGGAACTTTAAAAGATATTTTTCCTTTAGAGACAAGTGGCTTCTCCAAACTTTCTCAGACCTAGGGCATAAATAACTACCCCCACCTGTCCTCAGTTGCGATGAATGGGCATAATATACAGATACTTGCTCCAGCAGGCAGGAGCCCAGTTTCCTTTCCACAAGAAAGGGAACAATGAGCTGAAGATGGCTGGAAGTGATAAAGGAAGTGTGGAGATCTGTATTACCCTCCCCCCATCTCATCTGTACATGATGAGATGGTGATTTGAGACAAATGGGCCCCTCCATCTTTTCAGAGAGAGGTTTGAATAAATCTTTTTCCTTTATACCAAAAATAAATGGCATCCCTTGCTTTGGTCATCAGTGAGTAAAAGAATGGGTGCTTATGAACCTAAGTGACCAGTAACAGTTTTAACAGAGGAAGATACATTTACGAGAGCAAAGAAGCTCAGATTGTATCATGAAACCCCAGGAAAAAATACTGAATGAGGTTAAGTACAGCAGTAACATAGTTCTGTATCTAGAAAGAAACAAAGAAGATTAGATTAAAGCATCAGTTTATATATTTATTCCTGTATTTCACTATAAAGAACATAAGTATGTAAAACAACTGAACAGAGAATACACATTTTCATGACTAAATATAGACTTAAGAATATATGAGCAAATTCTGTTAAATATCTGTTCCTGTAAATTGATGGTCATTGGAAAAGGCTGAACACTAGGGAAGTGTCGTCTTTTGAACCTGAAAGGCATATTTCTGTTATATGGAAGGAAAGGCATGAGCTGTATGAGAAGTCTATCCAAGCTCATTGTCACTTTCACAGTTTCAATACACATTCCCTATGTGACTGTCTTTCCCACTGAATATACTTCCTTGCTTATTTCCATTTGATATTTCTATTTAATTAATCCTACAGTGATTCACTTTTCTTTAACTTTCCAATTGTTCCTCTCTTTCTTTAATATTTTCTGGCTGTCTGGTCATGACAAATTTTAATTTAGTCTTATAGTTCATTTGTGCTCTCTACTAGTGGTTCATTAGCACTTTTTTTCTGAGTTCTTACATGTCATACAGTTATTTTTATTCTTCCTAAAATGTTTAAATCTTTTATTAAGTAAATATCCAGTAGGGAATATTTTTTAAATATGCTTGTGCATTGTATTGTTTAAAATCAGTGACATATTACTACACATTACAGAAGCTCCACACTGATTTTAAAAAGATCAAGCAAGTAAACCCCCAGAAAAATCACACAATTTTTTCATATAGTCACTGCCTACATACCAATTCTCAGTCAATATTTTCGAATTAATGTGTAGTTTTGGAAGGATCACTGGGTATTTTCATGTTCATTAATTGGAGTATTCATACAGATTTCTTTTTTATATAGATTTCTTACCCAGGTGAAACTTGGAGAAATATATTTAAGCATTTTGTGGTGTTAGTAACTCAAAAATTGCAAGGAGTGGTACATGGCTGAATTACTAAAGGGGAGTAGAAGGAGCTAGTACTACAAAAATAAAGGTAAGATCTTAGGGTCTTTGAATATTAAGCTAGAGACTTTGTATGTTGTTTCTCCTGTGTCAGAGGCAATGATAAATTCTTGAAAAATAGCTAATTTTTTACTGAGTACTTAGTCTGCCAGAGTAAGTTATGCATACTAAGTGCTTTACACACATTTTCTCATATACTCTTCATAACTATTCTGTAAGTACTATAATTATCCTCATTTTAGAGATGAGGAAGCAGATTCTTGGAGGTTAAGTATCCTAGCTCACAGGAAACAGCTACTCAGTGGTGGAGCAGAAATTCAACTTTGGCTCTAACTTCAAAGCCCAGTCTCTAAGCCTGAGGAAGTGGGAGTCCATGCATCTTTTCCAAAGATCACTTTGGTAGAAGTATGAGAACAAATGGCAGAGACAAATGTCTAAAGTTTAAAGGCAGGGAGACTAGAAAGGATGCTGTTGCAGTAGTCAAGACCTGCTAGGCCCTGTTAAGGGGGCTGTCCCTTAACCATCGGAATTATGCAGACGAATTACATGGTCAGGCAGGTTATTTAGAATACCCCTCTGGCAACCCTTGTAAAAGATGGATTGGAGGAGCAAGACTAAAGGCAGAAAAATAAATAGGTTCTTATCCTCTTCCCATCCCATACTAACAGTGAAGTCACTCCATCTAAACTCTAGGAAGTGGGGTTTTGCTCACTTTTCTAGGTTGTGGACTTGCTGGTCAGAGCTCCTACAGCGGCGCCAGTGGTGGCAGCGGTCGCCGGCGGGGGTGGGGCGCATGCGCACGGTTGCTAGGCAACGGCTGTTGGGCTCAGCAGAGATAAGGAGCCAGGGTTGTGTGTGTAGGCTGCGGCGCCAGAGGAGGAGGTGCACGAAGATGCAGCTGCGACTGCGGCCCCCAGAGGGAGTCGCCTCTGTTCTATGTCCGCGGGGGCTGAGGGACGGGAATCAGGCCTAGGGGTCGCTTCACTGAGGAGACTGGGGGTGGCGGTCCCGCCAGAGGCTCGGGCCTACTACAAGGGGAAGGTCCCGGCTGCTGGACAAGGGCCTCCCCCTCCCCTTCCCTCCTCTCATCCTTCCACGGCAATAGTGGTGAAGTTGGCGGCTCCAGGGAGTCAAGGCACCAGGCTTCTCCCTTACATCCAGCTCCTCTCTGGCCCTGTCTCTTGGACACCTGCGCAGCCACCTCCCTTGCCCGCCAAGCCCGGCCGCGGCGACGGGCGGGGGAGGGGCTCCTCCCCTGCTGGGGCTGCTTCGAACAGAGCTGGACGACGACGGTGACCTTAGGAGATTAGGGGGTGAGTAGTGGCACTGCACTCGTCCAGTGCTAGAGCGCCTTTCCGGCTTCTGGGGCCCCGGGAGGCTAGCGAAATACTGCTTTCTCCTCCAGAAGCTTCTGACGCCTCACCTACATTTGCTCGGAGCTAATTCCAGGTAGTTTTGCTTCTCAAAACCATCACTTTCTGACCTTAACTACTGTGTCTGGGAATGTAGGGTCTGTGCTAAAGGCCTGGTTTTAATTTGTAGATGCCACAGATGTTGACAACTCAAGTCTCGCAGCTGGGTCCCTGATTCCAAGACAGTCTCTCCCAGTGCCATGCTCACTCCTTTCTCCTCTCTCTGGTTCTGGTTTTGCATCTGGCTTTTGCTCTCAAGAGGCTTAGCCTGACTTCGTGCTTCTGAAGAGCCCATTCTCTGGGCTGCTGTTGCTTCTTTATAAAGGCTTGAACAGATAGTTACAGCGACCTCTTACTTTTCAGTGTTCTTTTTACTCTTGTGCCAAAAGCTTCTGAAAGCCTTGTGCCTTGCTTTTGACTTTTAGCATGCAATAGTGGGAAGACAGTAATTATATCAAATAATGATGATAATAATCATAATCATGGTAATAATAATAAACCAAAGTAGCAGCACACACTCTACTTGACTTTTCAAAGTGCTGTCAAACTTGAGACATAGGCAGAGTGGATCATTGGTAACAGGTTTTACAAACTATACTCTTCATTCAAATTGATGTACTTCTTTTTCATCCAGAATAATGACATACTACTTTTTCATTTTTCATTGCAAAACACGTTGATAAAACCTAAAATGTTCCTAATAAAAATGAGACTGGCTTGTGATCTATCTGTTTATTGAGGTAATCTGCAGTTGGAAATATTCACTTCACAAAAACAATGACATTTTGGACAAGGTAAAGTTTAGATAAGTATCTAAAGTTGTGAGCTACATTTTTGAAAATTAAAAATACTTGAGGAGTGAGATACTTTCTTCAAAAGCAGATGGTTGAACAAAATTACAGTTCACTTTGAATTTCAAATAGTAGTAATTTTGATTGCAAGGTACTTCTGTGAGGAGACAATAGAGGATGGGTTCCTTACTTTATTTGGCTCCCTTCTTTCCCTAGTGGTTTTTAAGCCATTTTCAGGTTTCTTTATTCAAAAGGAAGTGATGAAAAAGAAGTACAATAATGGGAAAAATAAATTTAGTTTTTGTAAATCCCTTTAAAGATTTTTAAAAAGGATATAGATGCCATTTGTGATTAACTTTAATGAATCTACTAGAACTGCCAATTCTAGTAGTTTTGAATAAAAGGTTTTACCTTGACAGATTTCGTGGAGGTTCCCTTGGGTACAGTGTAAAGCGCGATATAACTCTGCTGCCCCTGGAAAATAATCTTGGGCTTCAGTGTGTATTGTTTGTTTGATGCTCTGACAAGCTGACATGCTTCAAGTTGCTAGATTTTAAAGTTAGAGGTGTTTTGGTTTGAAAAAGCTCTTGATGAATTAAAGTCTGAATTATTTGAAATAATAATTATCATATGAATCCTTGCTGTTTATTGTCACATATTTCAGAACCTGGAAGTGATCTGAATCTAATAGAATTCTATTGCAATTACTTTGACCAGATGCTTGCCTCATACAAAAGAGCATTTACCAAGGTGTCATAAAGATAATATTGATAGTTCATTTTGCAGGTCCTGTGAAGACACTTGTCCAGTGAACTCTGGAATGAAGATTTTTGTTTGTTTTTATTTTTACAGTGACTTTCAACACGCTTTTATTTTCTAGCTTGTATGTGTGCCCACTACCATCCTGAGTGTTGTTGAAAATAGAATAGCAACACGTCTCAAGAATTAAATTGCTTATCCTTGAATAGAAAAAATACATATATAAGACATCATGTTGAACAATTGAAACTTAGAATAAAGACAAAGAGAATTAATAGTAAAGGGAGAATACTGGAGGCTGAGGTTTGTTTGAGAAGGTTTTATAGAAAAAGTGTAACTTGACTTTGGATGTATAGGCATTGTTGAAAGGAAGGGAAATTCAGTGTAGCATGAACTATGCCACTTGATTTTCTAATTTTTGTACATATTATTCTCTTGGCTAAATGCAAAGGAGGAGAGGACTGCTGGTGGCAATTTATTTCATTTTAGTGAACATAGATTTCTATATTACATATTAGATTAATAAATTAAATATAAATAAATTTATAAATGTGCATGCTATAGAAGTCAGACTTAAAATAATCATTCTATCTCCTGGGAGAATGTTTTCTAAGAAGATGTAGATAATTAAGTTCATGTATTGTCATATCCTGTAAATTTTTACTGTCTAATAAGGAACTGTTTTAGTCTATGTGTTTCATACCAAACTGGTCTGTTATGTACAATGTTAGAGTATTAATATGCTCTAAAAGTTATTTCCTGATAAATTGTATAAGCAACATGAATTTTGGTTTAGTAAATATATGATAACTTTCTTTTTAGACTACCTTAATACTATTTCTACCATTTTCAGAAAATAAAGGAGAGATATGTCAGTCTTGGAAATGGATCCTGTTACAGCTCTAAAAAAAATGTTATTAATGATGCAACTTATATAAATCCCTGTTCAAACTACAAATACAAACCTTTGCAAAACTCATTTTAGTTCATTTCTTACAATTCTTTGCTGTGTTGAATGAATGACATGACTAATGGTCTGCTGTTTTTTGTTTGTTTGTTTGTTTGTTTGTTTGTTTTTAAGACAAAGCCTTGCTACATAGTTCAGGCTGGCCTACATAGTTCAGGCTCAATATTAGCCCAGGCTGGCCTCGAACTTGCTGCAATCCTCCTGCCTCAGCCTCCAGAGTGCTGAGATTACAGGCATGTGCCACCTTGTGGGTTTTAGTCAACCATAATAAATTGATGTTTGCATATAGAAAATCCTAACAAAACATACTGCAATTACAGATGGTCTCTGACTTACTATGGTTTCTCTTGTGATTTTGCAACTTTGAAATGGTGCAAAAGGGCTAGGGACTTAGCTCAGTCGTTCCACCACCTGCCTCGCAAGCGCAAGGACCCAAGTTTGATCCCTGGTACCCAAAAAAAAGCCAATAAAATGGTGCAAAAGGAATGTGCATTGGGTAGAAACTGTACTTTTAATTTTGATATTTTCAGAGGCTAGTAATATGTTTAAAACTTTCTATCAGTACTGCACAGCTGTGATGAGGCATAGCTCCCTGTCAGCCATGTGATCATAAGGGAAAACAACCAATAGTTTACAATGAGCTGTGTTGTTAAGCTATGATGTTTGGTAGGTTAAGTGTATTAAATGCATTTTTGAATTATGATATTTTCAATTTATGATGAGTTTATTGGAACATAACCTGATCATAATTCAAGAAGCATTTGTATTACATTAAAAGAAGGGTTCAAATACTTTCCCAAATTAACTATTGAATTGTTTCAAAAATATTTTAATCTATATGTTAATTTGTTTCATTTATACTTTTAATTTATCTAGTCCATCAAAAATAAAGTTTTGTGTTATTATTTTATTGTTTATTCTTTGTAAGAATCTTTTTGGTCTATGTCTTGTACTTGAACTACTTTGAAGATAAAGATATAGAGTGTATTAGCTCTTATTACTTTATTTTGTTATGAAATGTTTATTTTTTAATAAAATGAAAATATATAAAATACTTAAAGGTGCTTTTAAATAGTTTCAACATTCTCTCTATTTTGTTTAGTAATTTTATTAGCAATCTCTTAATGCAAAAATATTACTGAAGATAATCTCAGTCCCTTTCTGAATTATCACAAATTCTGAAAGAGTGGGGTCCAAATTACAATACAATGAAATTTAATTAATTAATTAATCCACTAATCTATAATTTTTTAGCCTACATATATATAGCAATCACGCTAAAAATGTCTTTCGCAGAGTGTCATCTCCATGCTGGTAATGGATTCTAATCTATAGGAAAAGCAAACGGGGAAGTATTGGAGTTTCGTTATTGGACATCACAGTACTGATACTGAATTCAAGTAAGTGCTAAGAGAGATGAAGGTAGGGAAATTTAGGTTTTATGTTTTTAAAAATATCTAAGTACTTTATTAGGATATTAAATGTATTGACTGTAAAAGAGACTACAAGTTAATACAAATTGAATATACTTATCTGAAATAACACTTTTGGGAACAGAAGTGTTTCAGATTTTGGAGTTTTTAGGTTTTGGAATATTTGCATAGATCTACCAGTTGATTATCCCTAATCCAAAAATCCAAAATTCAAAATAATAAGAAAACTGAAGCTATTTGAGCACTGACATATTGCTCAAAAAGTTTTGGATTTGGGATTTTCAGGGATTTGGATTTTAAGGGATGATAAATCTGTAACACAAGCAAAATTGAGCAATAGTTATGGTAAACTGCTTTCAGATGTTTTAAAAAGTACGGTGGCAATATTATTTGGATGTAAATTCAATGAACTTACAAATTCTTCTTATTGTTTCATCGGAGTTAGAAGGTAAAATGTTCAGTACAATTTACACCTAGTAGTCTTTATAAGTTGATGATCCTGTCACAACATTCAAAGTAATAAAATTTCAGGATTTTCTTCCCCAGTTCTGAATGAATAAACATATAATGAATGCATGCATGTTGCTGTTCATGTTGATTTGTTCTGTTTGTGTTTTGATGCAATAAGCTCTAGCACCCTGCATTTCTGAAGTTCTGAGATGAAACTCGTGACAAGACACTGGAATTTCCACTCTGATTAACTATAAACTATACCTAATGAGAGGGTTGCTAGAGGCTTGTTGTTTACTATTGATGTTCTTTCCAGAGGAGAAAAACTAGTTCTTTGTTTCATGCCTTCTACAGTAATGATAAATTTGTTACTACTATGTAACTTATTGCTCTTTACTTACAGATATTGGATTTTAGGTGTAACAGCAAAGGAAGCAGTAGCACAGTTTATTGGATTAATTAGAATAAAATTTAGCTCTTTGAAATTTTTTAACCAATTAACATTTCCTCAAACTCATCCTCTTTTGACATTCCAGTGACATGTGTGATAAAGTTTTGCTTTGTGTATATTTATGGATGAGAGGAAAACAAACAGTACTTTTCTTATAGATAAACATTGAGTCCAGAGTAGGAATAATAATCTGTATTAACAGAAATAAGTAGAAATTCAGAAAATATTTAAAATCATTAGATTTTGGGAGATAAATTTATACTTATATTGGGATTTGACTATTTCTAATCTAGGTAATTCCAGAAATTTGGCTATCTAAAGGCCAAGGGATAAATCTTGCTAATGAATTTTCTGATAAATTAAGGATTAGTACAAGTACATAATGAAGGTATAGCAAAGATACTTGGAAAAATATATCAGATCTTTAAGTTGTGAAAATTTGTTGATCACTGACCCAGCTGTATATGCCTTGATTCAAGAGTTTTGGTAAACTGGGTGTGGTGGCACATACCTGTGGTCCCAGGTACTCTGGAGAGATCAGCCTGGATGAAACTGTCTTAAAAAACTATTTTGGTAGCAAATAATAAAGAAGTACTTCAAATTAGCTTAAAAACAACAATAATAATTTATGTATTTATGTTAAGGCTGCAAGAGGTGCTCATGGAACCTGAGGGGAGAAAATATACCTTAGGCACATGAGGGACCTGAACTAGGATGAAAAGCTGGTAAATAACTAAGAAAATTTTATTCCTTTTCTTCTTTTCTTTATCTCCAACCCTGGATCCACATAGGGTGTCTGGTTTATTTCTTTCAGCATTTCCACCTCATTTTCTCACTCCCTCAGTATGGTTTACCTAAGAGTTCCCAAGTTTATGTATTCTAAATGTAGGTAATCAGAAGATACTCAGCATTTCTGAATCGTAACTCCCAATTCCCAGAGAAGGATGTGGGCTGAGCAACATCTCAAATAGTGTCTACCATGGAGTATCATTTGTGGAGCATAAAATGCATTATTTAAAGACACATGTATAAAATGTCTAACAAAGAAGAATTAGATTACCTTTGTCATATGCTTATTTTCATTCAGAGACAATGAGACCCAGAGATGATGCCATTTAGCCTCATTTCAAGGAAAAGGAAACTGAGGAATAGAGAAAAAACATTTTTCTTATTCTTAAGTTCCTTCATTGGTATATTTTAGATATACAGTATGTTTACATTTACCATTGGGTGCTTGTACCTGTACATGATGTATCTTGGTTCTTATTTTTT